CCCACCAACCCACCCACCCACCAACGAACCAATCAATCAACCACACCTTCGCCCAAAACCAAGAGAGAAACTAAAACAAACCAACTGCAAAAAAACAAAAGAGAGGAAAACCACTCACATCTATGTTGTCCAGCTTTCGGGAAGACCGCTGCCGTTGCTCCTCCGGGAAATTATTGTACCGATCAAGTATGTCTCCCATACTGTGTTTTTCAATAACAAAGTTGGAAAAAGCGTAAAGGCATTCCAGATTCCCCGAATCACACAAGCACCCCCACCCACCCACACAGAGCAACAACAAGCAACCCGTCAGGTTATGTTTTCCAACTTCCAAGTTAAACTTTTCCCTAGCATTGCCAGTTCTCACACACAGAAACAAAATTTCACCACACAGAAACAAAATTTACTCTAAATAACATCCTGGGTGTGTTCTCTTCTGCAAATGACTTGGTCCTGAGTGTCGTTTTCCGTCATCACTTTGTACATCTACTGCCTTTGTGGCAGATGCCTTGTGTGGTGTTGTGTGTGTGTGTGTGTGAGTTGAAGGACACCTGTCTCTTATACACATCTAGATGTGTATAAGAGACAGGATGAGTAGTGACCACATTGACGACTTGGAGATTGTCTGCAGATGTAGCGCTGATACATTGGAAGCCATATTCATGAGTTGATAAGAGACTGGTGTTGCGCTGATGAGCGCTGGACTCAGGGGAACTTTGAAACACTTTGTATTCATAATTCTGATAATATAAGTTGTGAAACTCGGTCCTCTTCTTCTCTACCTTTGTCTATGGTTGATACTTTTGATCATTGCGTGTGAAGATGATGCATGACATGTACACATCTGCGTGAGATGGTCCCTAGGACCCATGCAACAGTGTCAAAATCGTACACAGCAACCAGAGATCAAGGAAGAGAAGACAGGACTCACACACAAGTAGAAGCCCGCTATGCTTGCAGGTGTCCCCTGTAGAGGCTTAGGAGTAGTGGTAGGTAGATACTGAATGGTGAAATTGAGAGAAGAAATATAGCTTCGTAGTCTTCATTTAAAAAAAAAATAAAAAATAAAAAAAAAGTGTGGCCAAGAACACTGTTTGTTCAACTTCCCTGTACATAAACATGAGATTTTTTGTATAACAATTGAAGTTACACTGAACTTGCGAGCGATCTCTCTCCAGAGTGTTCTTATAACGTGTCAGTGCGCTGTCTCGTGTGTGCGAAACCTCATGCGATGAATCGCTCGCGCATTCAAGAAGACTGCTTGTTGCGCACACAATGCAAGCACAAGACAAGCACAACCAGCCAACCAGCCAACCCACCAACCCAGCCCCCACTTCCCCAACCAACCAACCAGCCAACCAACCAGCCCATCCCTGCAACCAGCCCATCCCTGCAACCAGCCCATCCCTGCAACCAGCCCATGCTGCCCACG